TTAAAAATAAATTAAAAAAAAATAAAAGGAAACGAAAAAATAAAAACCCCCAGCCCATACCTCACACAGCGTCATTGAGAGTCCTTCACCTCAAGGAAGGCACACCTATTCGAACATCTCTATTGCTTGCCTGCAGTACAGTATATTAGATTGTTTTCTTTTTACATGCACTACTTCCCATATAAAACAAACACTGCAAGGTCAGGGCTACATTTAATGCCTCTTCTCAAAGACCTAGAAGCACACCACGCAGAACAGGTGCTCGGGAAGTGTGTCCTGATGATAGGTGGTGGCTTAGGTACTGGAAGCTTGAATGAGCATCTTCCAGTCTTCCCTTCCAAATGATTTGCAACGTCCTGTCATTTCTCCTTTCGGTGAAGTTGTTCAGATTTCACTGCTAAACACAGGCTACGTCATTCTTGGACTCTGACAAGCAGCCTCCTGCCCCCACTGCTCCTTTGACTGGAGGCCGCACAAAGTCACTAAGTCCTCAAACTCTGATCCCAACCTCCTCCTTCCAAAAGTGCAAACGATCCCCAACCGCCTCACAGAGTGAACTACATTTCCGAAAAACAGTTCTTGGGGGATGGGCAGTTACCATGTCATAGGTACAGAGTTTCTATGTGGGGTGATAAGAAAGTTCCAGAAACAGAAAGCGGTTATGGTTGCACACAACATTGTAAATGCAATTAAGACCAGTGCATTGTACCTTAAAAAGGATTAAAACAGTAAATGTTATGCTATGTATATTTTGCCACAATAAAAAAAAGGTTCTTCCAATTTCCCGATGACCCTGTCCCCAACCAAATGTCTCATTTCTCCCCATTCCCTCTGTTCTAAACCACTACGACGAAAACACACACACACACACACACATCTGTATAGCATTCTAGTACTCAATCCTCCGGAACATCTCACACACACACACACACACACACACACACACTTCCACCTGCCGTCACGCCTCTCTGCCCAGAATCTACGTTCCCTGTCAGTGGTGTGAACCTCCCCTGACTGTCCCTGGCTCACCCACATCTCTCCTCACTCCATAGTTGGCGAATTTGCTCACTGCTCTCCCTTCTGCGATGCTTTAGCTGCTAAGCGCCTGCTTTACACATTTGCATTTTTCCTCCACTTTCCAAAGTTGTTTTTAAAACCTGTAACTAACAGCCATGGAGCTTCAATTCCTTCTGCAGGCTTCCCACGGAGCTGGGTACATTATCGGACACATGATGTGCGCTCAGACGTCTGTAACTAATAAATTGCTCTGAACACCAAGGCTGATGACCGTCTCTCTAGAACCTTCGGCAAATGAATCAATATGTCTGGAGCAGCAGGCTTGTTTAAAGAAAGAAAAATACCATAACCAAAAAGGGAAGTTCTTACCTGCTCTTAAACAAGCAACACCCTAGCCACAGAGTAATTGTATTTCATTTCTTCAAAGGCCTGTTTAAAAATCAAATACATATGCCCACAGCACAAAGAAAGAAAATGTGCCCCAAAGCGAATGTTGTCTAACCCCACAATATGCGTATCTCGAAATCCCCCAGCCAATGGTCAGGAAAGGTCATCTTAAATTCGTTAGTTAAAAGGCCATGTTGATTCTGAACAAAATACAACCAGAGAAACGTGATAAAGAAATCAAGGGGAGCTTGTGAGGCTTCAAAATGAGTCAATATCAGTTCAAGAAAAAAAGCTGAGAACGTGAGAGAGCTTTCCGCAACCGTCATTAACCAGAGAGTCACCAAGGAAAACTTGTGTGATCCCAGATGTCAATTCCACAGATCATCACCTCTGCAGTGAACATTCTGGCACAGAAAGGGGAAAGGCCGTGGTGTTAAAATGCTCCTACCTGCTCTTGGGCCAACAAGGTCTTCTTCTTCATGACTTTCATGGCATAGATGTCCCCGGTTGCTCGCTCCCTTACCACCTGCACTTCGGCAAAGTGACCACAACCCACAAGACTTCGGACTTCAAAGTCCTTGGCTGAAGGCTGGAGCTCCTGTAACTCAGCGATGGTGTCAGAATCTGCAAGAGATGGAAGAGTTGCTCCCAGGTAAGGAAAGCATTTCAAATACATGCATCTTTATGAAAGCAAAAAAAAAAAAAAAAGAAGAAAGAAAGGAAAAAGTGTTCCTATGTGTTCCCTCCCTGTCAAAAGACATTTAGTCACTTTCTCATCCGTCATGAATAATTATAAAATCAGCACAAAAGTGTTTTTATATGTTAAGTTAAAATTAAGGGCTCCAGAAATTCCAAAGCAGTTTCCATGGTAGCTATAATTTGAATCCTGTAGACTCAGAAAATAGGAGGAGAACACAAATCATGCTTTTCTTCCTCCTCTCTGAAGGGCTGCAGGGCAGTGTTTGGTCAAACATGTTTATAAGCATTTAGACTGGCTTATGATGTGACATAAGCAACACGATTCCCATCTCAATCCACTCTGGAGCGGACTTCCAGATCATTCCATCCTAAGTGCATTCTGCAGTTTTATCTCACTAACCCAGGTTTTATCCCAGTATTCCATCTCCTTGGATGCTGTCAGAACTACCTTCTTTCCCTTAATATATAGCAGTGCTACCAAAAAACAAAAAATAAAACCAACCAACAAACAAAAAAAAATGACGTCCTGGCATTTGCTCTGCAGAGTTGGCAGGTCACACCCCTGGAAGGGTTTACAACTATCTTTTTCTTAGCATATAGTCTTACTCCTTTTTCAAGTGCAGTCTCTCAGTCAGTATCTTAGTCCGCTCAGGCTGTTACCACAAAATACCACAGATGAGGTGGCTTAAACAACAGGCATTTATTTCCTACAGTTCCGGAGGCTGGGAAGTCCAAGATCAGGGTGCTGGCAGATCGAGTTCCCGGTGGGAACCCGCTTCCTCGTTTATAGAAAGCTACCCTCTCACTATATCCTCACAGGATGGAGAGAGAGGGAACCCTGGTCTCTCTTCTTCTTCGAAGGACAATAGTTCCATCATGGAGGCCCCACCTTCCTTCGTGACTTCATCTAAATCTAATTACTTCCCAAAGGCTCCACCTTCAAATACCACCATATTGGAAATTAGAGCCTCAACATTTGAATCTGCAGGGGGACATGAACATTCAGTCCATCACAGGTAGAGATCCTCCATGTATGAAGTATGCATTAAATGGATGGCAGATTTGAAATCTACCATATATTTATTGATGCTCTAAGAACACCAAGCTGGGACATCACTGGATATGCAACGACTCTAAGGATCTGAAAGAATGGAGCAGAACAGCTGTATCTGACTGAAAAATTCAATCCTTCACATGATAGAGAAACTCCATATAGAGAAACAGGGGTTACACTCCAAAGGAAGACAAGAGGAACACATAATCAAAATTATCCTGGAGAATCCCTCAGAAAGGTGCCGTGATGAAGACCAAGAGACTCCTGAATTCCCACACGGACACTAAAGTCCTCCGGGCACTAGAGTGGGTTGCCATGTCCATGGTTGGGCACCAGATAAAGCCAGGAGGCTACATTCTAGAGTTACACTCGGCTTGGCAAGTTATTCACACAATGAGAGGAAATGAGTCCAATGAAGGGGAAAGCCATTTCATACCTATAGTTATTGGGCAGCATATTGATAAATTAGTCATTGCAGTTTTAATTGCTACCCACCCCCTTTCTTTGTGGCACGAGTTGAATTCACTTGGATCAAAGGCACACATGATGAACCCCACTGCACTGGGTACCTTCCCAGCCACAGACCACACCTTTCTCTTCAGCCAGTCAACCTGAAAATACCTCCCTTTGGTCCCTGGGGGAATCAGGCAAGAATGCTGGGTAGATCCGAATAAATTCACCATGATCACTGTAAAAAATCAATCTAAAGCGCCTTCATGGAGAATTCCATGCAGAAGCAAAGCTGAAAGCTGCACAATATTTTCCTTTTGCCCTGACATCCCTGTGCCAAGTCCCGTCTTTCTTCCCTGTTCTTTTTCCAAGTTTCTTTCAGACAAGGTATTTGAGGTTTGAATTATAATTCCCCAGATATGCTGGCTTGCAACTTTCTGGGTTGAACCTGGTTTTATTATTGCTTGCCCACAAAGCCAACCTCTCTCGATTCTCTGCTGGGCCTTGTGTCCCCAGGTTGCTTATAGCATTTGTCCAACTTAACTCTGGATCCGTGGCTGGTAACCACCAGGCATTTCAATCACGTGAGTAGACAAACTGCTACAGGCAAAACCACAAGAATACTCAGGATTATGAGGAATAATTCCAAATGTCTATGTCTTTTTCCAAACGCTTTGGATTATTGAGGGGAACAGGTCAGATACTAAACTCAAGAGTATGATGATTGAAAAAAAAAAAAAAGACCCTCACAACTTCCCTCCATACCAGCAGCTTCTATGACTCCAAAACCACATCCCACTTCAGCCCTGCACACTGTTAATTACAGCATTTAAGGACTGAATATTGAGGTGGAAACGAAGATCCAAAGCACTGTAATGAAAATGCAGTCAAAGCACGGCCTTGTCAGATAAACATTTGGACCCAGGGGCAAAAGCCAACACAGCTGAGTATATCCCTTCCTCTCCTGAAACTCAGTCAATTCAACATTTCAATTTCTAGGAATTTGTCCTTCGCAGAAACGTTAGCAGATGTGCTGGAAAACAAAACACAGCAAGATGCTCATCACGAGCACTGCTTGTAAAAGAAAAATAACCAGAAATGAACCTAAAGGTCCAGGGGCGCCTGGGTGGCTCAGTCAGTTAAGTGTCTGCCTTCAGCTTGGGTCATAATCCCAGGGTCCTGGGATCGAGCCCCACGTCGGGCTCAGCATGGAGTCTGCTTGTCCCTCTCCCTCTTCCTCTCCCTCTTCCTCTGCCTCTGCCCCTGACTCATGCTCGCTCTCTCTCTCTCAAATAACTAAACTCTTTAAAAAAAAAAAAAAAGAAAAGAAAGAAAGAAAAAAGAAATGACCTAAAGGTCCATCAACAGGAAAGTGGAACCAACCTAAAGTCCACCCACATAAAAGAATATTAGGCACATGAAGTAGCTCAATCTCCACGAGAATATACATTCTTTAAGGGCAGGGATTTTTTTCTGTTTTGATCACACTATAAACCCAGTACCCAAAACAGAACCTGGCACAAAACAAATGCTCCATAAATATTTGTTGAGTAAATATATTGCTAAGTGAGCAAAGCTAGTAGCAAAATATTACAGACATATGATCCGTTTTGTGTAAAATGAAACAAGAGTGATGTTAGAACATACATGGAAAGGGTTGATTGATTGCTAGAGCGTGTTGACTGGTACACAGGAGTTCACTATGCTATTCTCTTTACCTTGAGACATGCTTGAAAATTTCTATAATAAATATTTTATAAGGACCGAAAAAATTGCAATATTATGCACCAAACTGGTAACAGTGGATATCTCAGACAGAGGAGATTTTGAGGGATATTCTCTCATTTTGACCTTTTATATTTAACTTTGTATTCTGTTTACAATTAGGAAGAAAAAATTCTTAAAGTTATATATTCACCTATAAGTACTACAGTTGTGAACATACAGAAGCTTTTGCCTACAGTAAACATAGCTGAAAGAGCATAGGATTGCAGCTAATGTCAAATCACCAAGAGCAGTCCAATTTCAACAATTATCAACACTTTGCATGCATAATATGTTTATTTTTTTACACAAATTCTATAATACAATGCTTAAGGTTTTCCCACGTGGTTTGCTTAGCAATATAGTCATTCGACCAATATTTACTGAACATCTACCATGTGCCAGACACTGTTTTAAGCACTGGGAATAGAACAGTAATTAAGAAACAAAAATCTCAAAAAAAAAAAAGAAACAAAAATCTCTTCCCTGGTTCCCAGATCCGGGTTTCCTGCTCCCGGCCCTCCTTTGGCCCAAAGTTGGGGCACCTCTTCAGAGCTATACCTCCGTCTCATTTCCTCCAACAGTCCCAAAAGAAAATCTCCACCTCTATGACAAGATTCAAGAAACTTATGCAGCAGCAGCTGTTGGCCATTTTTCCCATTACATTCCAAAACAGAAACTCAAAAGAGGGAGGGGCGCGTGGGTGGCTCAGATGGGTAAGCATCTGCCTTCAGCTCAGGTCATGATCCCAGGGTCCTGGGATCAAGTCCTGCATCAGGCTCCCTACTTGGCGGGAAGCCTGCTTCTCCCTCTCCCTCTACTGCTCCCCCTGCTTGTGCTCTCTCGCTCTCTCTGTCAAATGAATAAATAAAATCTTTAAAAAAAAAAAAAAAGGGGAAAAAAGAAAACAAACAACCCTACTAATGTAATCACCCCTTTTCAATCACAGCCTCTCGGCCTTACTCCCCAGAAAGCCTCTTCAAAAATACGAAACAATTCCTTGCAAGAGAATTCTATTAGAAAAATCTACATTTCACTAAGCCTAAGTCCCCTGATTACTGAAGGAGTTTAGAAGATCCACTACTTTAAAGTAACCAGAGGGGAGGGGTGTCCGGGGTGGCTCAGTTGATTAAGCATCTGGACTCTGGATTTCGGCTCAGGTCATGATCTCAGGGTCATGGGATCGAGCCCCGTGTCGGGCTCCATGCTCAGCAGGGAGTTTGCTTGAGATTCTCTGCACCTCCCCCTGCTTGTACTATAAATAAATTAAATAAATAAATAAATAAATAAATCTTTTTAAAGAATAAAAATTAAAAATTAAAAAATAAAATAACCAGAGGGCAGACTCCAGACTGATGAAGATGCCTGTAGATGGCTTAATAAATTCGTCTGTCTCATAATTTCCCCTCCTCTCCCACTCCCTACTTAAAAATTTAAATATTCAAGAAGATAAGGTGGGAGTTTATTCAAACAAATATGGAAAAAAGAAAAGTACCCAAATACATTTTAAAATTAAAGACACACAACATATTAAATATATGTTGAGGTTGACGGCCACAGTTATTGGGTTAACATTTATTATCTCTTACGTGTCAGGCAACATAAGCCTGGTCTGTGCACTAATTCATTCAATCCCTGCACAGCCTTATTACATATGTACTTTCCCCATCTTGCAGATAAGGAATCAGAAGAGACAAGGTACAGGTAAATCCCAAAGCTCACTGTGGTGGCCATACGCTGATTTTAGCTACTCAAAACCCCCAGCTCCTTTGGACACTTGCACATCCCCCATTCCATGAGACCCCGGTAATCAGGGTGCCCTGAACCCCTGGATACCCAGAGAAGTTCCCATCACACTTCATATCCTGGCCCAGTGCCTGCTCAAGGGGTAGGCAGATGACCCAGAGCAGAGCTAATTAGAATCTTTCATCGGGATTATACTAATATACACAGTGGACAATAAAAGTTGCACAGGGTATGGTACCCAGTCTCCAAAGATGGTGCCCAATGAATCACATGCCTCCTAGAATTCACGACCTTGTGTAGTTCCCTGGCACATGGAATTTGGGAAGCCCTATAACTCACTTCAAACAACAGAATGCAGCCAAAGAAATCCTCTGTCCCTTCCTGGCAGCTATGGTGCTTTGGAAATTTGGTGCCTGGCACCAAAGGGACCATGTAGATCAGAGGTCAGCAAGTTTTTGCTTGAAGAGCCAGAGAGTAAATATTTTAGGCTTTGTAGGCCATACAGTCTCAGACACAATGACTCAAATGCCTTGTTGTGAGAAAGCAGCCACAGAGAATACATAAACAAAGGGCATGGCTAACAAGTTCCAGTAAAACTTTGCGTACAAGACAGGTATCCCTGGCTGTCGTTGGCTGACCTTGATGGAGAGACCACACGGAGAAGCCACATGGAGAGTAAGAGGCCCTGAGACTTCACAGAGACAGGGAAAGGCCCAGTCATCCCAGAGTCCTAGCTGAGTCCAGTCTTCCAGGCAACCCGCCAAACACTGAGCAGGCCATCTTGGACATTCTAGACCAGGAGAGTCCCAGGTGCCTGCAATCTTAGTCAGAGTCACATGGAGAGGAAAATTCCTCAGCTGAGCCCAGTCAACCCACAGATTCATGAGAGGTAATACAGTGATTACTGTTTTAGGCCACTATAGTTCAGGGTGCTTGGTTACACAGCAAGGTCGTATAAGGGAGGGTTTCTCACACTTGGCACTACTGAAATTTAGTGCCAGATAATTCTAAGCTGTGGTGGCTATTCTGTTGTTGCAGGAAGGTTAGCATTATCTCTGGCTTCACCCATTAGATGCCAGTAGTACCCTTCCCCTCCAAGCTGTGACAACCAAAAATAACTCCAGACATTGCCAAGAGTCCAGAGGGGGGCAAAATCACCACTGGTTGAAAAACACTGATGTAAAGTAATAAAATACAAAAGTGGGACACGGACACCAGCAGCCAACTCCCCCACCTCAAGGAAGACAAGAAGAGGGTGTGGGTAAAGCCGATTTATGCCTTTCATAGGCCCTAGGCATGCCTCCCTTCATCAGTCCCTTCCTCCATTTAAAAAAAAAAAAAAAAAATCAAGGGGCGCTGGGGTGACTCAGTCGGGTAAGTATCCAACTCCTGAGTTCAGCTCAGGTCTTGATCTCAGGGCCATGAGTTCAAGCCCCGCATCAGGCTCCACGTGAGGTGTGGAGCCTAATTTAACAACAACAACAAAAAACTATTAAAAAAAAGTCAAAACTTATATTTTACTGTGACATTAACATAAAGATGAATATAACCCCTAATCATTATACATTATAATAATATTTTTCTTATTATTTCAAAATTAAATTAAACTAATGAAAAGAAGCTGTTTATTAAAATTAAATACTGTGGGCCCTAAGCACTGCGCCTGCTATGCCCACTAGATTATCAGCCCTGAGTGGGTACAAGGATGGAACCAGAGGACATCGTTTAAGACCCTGGAACCAGCCATGCCAAAAGTTTGACCCAACCCTGGGTTTCTCAGTTTCATGAGCCATACATTCACTTTTTGGCCTAAGCTAGTTTGAGTTGAGTTTCTGTCACCTGCAACCAGCAGACCTGACTTATCTGGTCTCCCAGCTGCAGCAGATGGAAACTGGCCTTGAAACTGGGTCTGTCTTCCTCCGAGCAGAGTTCTTACCCATGACCACCAACCACTAACTCATCTGGCCTCCAGCATCTTTGCAGTTTTGTCTAGCAGAACAGTTTTCAAGAGAAAGTTCTCCAAACTTACACTTCCGGACAAAGTTGCTCACGTGCTTGATCTTCATCAGAGCAGGCTGACTACATTCTCCGAAGAGAACGAAGAGGGCATCTAATATCCCTTCTCGGGAAAGAGGAGACATCTGCTGTTGAGTCAGAAAGGGTGGTTTCCCCTAAAAACAGCAAACAGCAGATGGAGACACTGTCAATAACGAAAAGCTTTGATCAATAACATCCACACAGAGTAAATTACAAGCCACCAACTCTAACTGCTCACGACACACGCTAACAGCACAATTCTGGGGCTTCATTCTTTAAAGTGACATCAACTGAGTCATTATGTTATCACTTATAAGATTCCATTACTGTGGGTTTCTTCCACCAGCACCTGGGAAGAAAAACTTCACAAGCATGCCATTAAAAACAAAAAGCCCTTCTTTCTTTTTTTTTTTTTTTTTATTTTTGAGAGAGAAAGAGAGAGAGAGAATGAGCAGGGAGGTGGGGGGGAGGTCAGTGGGAGCAGACTCACCGCTGAGAAAGGAACCCAATGTGGGACTGGGATCCCAGGACCCTGGGATCATGACCTGAGCCGAAGGCAGACACTTAACCGACCAAGCCTCCCAGGTGCCCAAGGCCCTTCTTTCTTAACAGTCTGTGGCTCATGGGAATATTTACTCTGGACCCTGCTGGTTCTGAAATGTTTCCATGTCTCTACAACAGGACACAATGATTGCTACTTCTTTCGAGTGTGCCCAGAGGTTTGTTAATATAACTGTGGTTTCTTTAATTCACTTGAACAATCTAGAATAGTATGGGCAGAGTGATCATGCTAAAGCTGAACTTATTCATGATCTAGACCAACAGTTGCAAACTGGCAGACTGTATCTAACCCACATGTTTTGTTGGGCCTGCAGCATTTAAAATAATTTGAATTAGGGCACCTGGGTGGCTTAGTTGGTTGGGCGACTACCTTCGGCTCAGGTCATGATCCCAGAGTCCTGGGATCGAGCCCCGCATCGATCTTCTCCCTCTGACCCTCTCCCCTCTCATGCTGTTTCTCTCTCGCGCGCGCTCTCTGATAAATAAATAAAATCTTTAAAAATAAATAAATAAATTAAATTAAATAATTTGAATTATCTGCCAATATTGAAAAATCAGGAAATTTTACCCAAAAGAGGTGGGATTTGGGGGTTCTCCTGAAACACTGGAGGACCGAGCCACATTGCCCCACATCCCTGCCTGGTGATGCTGAGCTGTGGCTGAGTGATGCTGCCCCTCTGGGTAGTGATCGTGGTCTGCAGTTCATCACAGACCTGACTCCCAGTCTTCCAGGTGGCCCCTGTGACTCACCCATAGTCACTGCCTGGCCCCCAAAGACATGAGTTTGCAACCTCTGGTCTAGAACAATGATTTCCATGTGCCAGGCTATGGATTGTGTGGAGGTATCTCTGCAGAGATGGCCACCTACAGGCCCTCTCACTCTGTAGGTGCTTGGCACCGCTCTCACCAACAGCCAGAGTCTATTTCCCCGCCCCTTGAATCTGTGCTGTCTCGGTGACTTGCTTCAAGCAACAGGTGACACAAGTGACACTGTGCCAGTTCAGGGCAGAGCTCTAAAGACGCCTAGCAGCTTCTGCTTTTGCTCTTTTGGGAAGCCAGTCACCATGTAGAAAAGCTTAGTCTAGACCAGGGGTCAGCAAACTACAGCCCATAGGCCAATGTGGCCCACCGTCTGTTTTTATAAATAAAGTTTTATTGGAACACAGCCACACCCATTCACTTACATATTGTCTGTGGCTGCATTTGTGCTACAATGGCAGAGTTGAATGGCTGAAGCTACACCCAAAGCCTAAAATATTTATTTTTTTATTATTTGCGAGAGAGAGAATGAGAGACAGAGAGCATGAGAGGGAAGAGGGTCAGAGGGAGAAGCAGACTCCCCGCTGAGCAGGGAGCCCGATGCAGGACTCGATCCCGGGACTCCAGGATCATGACCTGAGCCGAAGTCTGATGCTTAACCAACTGAGCCACCCAGGCGCCCCTAAAATATTTATTATTTCGAGAAGAAAGTTACAAGGCCTGGGTCAGACTACTGGATAATGAAAGACCTCATAGAGAAGCCAGCTGGAGGAACACTGAGATGCCCTAGCCAGCAGTCAGTACCCAGATGTTCCAGCCCCAGCCAAGCTCCCAACACAATATGGCCTCTTGCGTGACCCCAGCTGATATCACAGGTTGAAACAGAACTGCCCAGCTGAATCCAAATAACCCACAGAATCATAAGATAAAATAAATCATCACTGCTTTAAACTCTGTGAGTGGTTTCTTACACAGCACTGGATACTAGAAACGGACTGGCTACATTTGAATCACTTGAAGAACTTAGCTAAAAAACAACAACAAAATTCTCTGGTGCTGGGGCACCTGGGTGCCTCAGTCGGTTAAGCGTCTGCCTTCAGCTCAGGTCATGACCCCAGGATGGGATCGAGCCCCGCGTTGGGCTCCCTGCTCAGCAGAGAGCCTGCTTCGCCCTCTCCTCCCGGCTCGTGCTCTCTGTCGCTATCTCTGTCTCTCTCAAAAGAATAAATAAAATCTTAAAAAAAAAAATTATCTGGTGTTATCTCTGACCTACTGAACTAGAACTTCCCAGTTTGTAGCTTAGAATCTGTCTTATTAACAAGCTCACCAAGAGATTCAAACCTCAGCCAGGGATGTGAAGCACTGGGTCACAAGCCACCATACCTGTCACTTTAATAGTTCTGCCACAAATTCCAAAAAATAGTCTTTGTTCCTTCGTTCTTTACTGAGTTTAGACTAATTGGAGCAACAGTTCCCAAATACAGTACTGATGCTTAACCAAGTGCTCAAGTCTGCCACGAAATGAGAAAAAACAAACACCACATGATGACTGGTCTATAAAGCTAAATACATTCAAATTTTAAAGTGACCTTTTATTCTGAAATCACGTCCTTCCTCTGTTGGTGTTTCTTAAAATGTCCCTTCTTTATGAAACGAAAGGACCAGAAGATAATGGCTTTTCTCTATATCTGTCTTGTTACATCGTTCTTATATCTCTTAGTTGGCAAAATAAAAAGCTGGCAAACCGATGTTGGCCTAGCAAATTTGTGAAATTTTGTTGGCTCAAAAATCTAAATGTCTGCTGACCACATGACACAAAACTCATTGGGACGTTAAGTACAATGTTAAAAGTAGAAACCACTTAACCCAGGGACACCTGGGTGGCTCAGTCAGTTAAGCGTCTGCCTTCAGCTCAGGTCATGATCCCAGAGTCCTGGGATCAAGTTCTGAATCGGGCTCCTGGCTCCACAGGGAACCTGCTTCTCCCTCTGCCTGCCGCTCCCCCTGCTTATGTTCTCTCTCTCTCTGACAAATAAATAAAATCTTTTAAAAAAAAGAAACTAAGACCCAGTCCAAAGTACTTACCTGAATGGAAAACAAAATCACTACTCTATCTAAACCTCATTAAAATAGTATTACACAGGGAAAGAACAGTATCCGTACCTGGTTAGGCAAATGTTAGATGTATGCTACACTTGCAAATAATAGCTTTCCTGGGGACAGGGAAGAACTCATCATGAAAAAAGATGAACTGGGGATTTACCCACAACCCTTGCTGTTAGAATGACATAAATATAATACACAATAAATTCTAACACACTTTGGCAGTGTTGCCAATGGTTACATGCCCAGCCTCTGTTGTCTGAATAAAAATGGAGCCTCTGTCATTTACAAGCTGCATGATCCTGGGCAAGTCCTTGCCTCCCTCGATATCTGTCTCTTCCTATTTAAAATGTAAATAAGAATAGTCCTTACGTCTGTAATGGAGCTGAAGTGAGATAATCAGGAGCATGCTGGCTCTGTACCCAGCACATTGGAAGCCACAATTCTTACAAAGGAGCACATTATACGCCTTCAGTCAATTTTGTAATAAGTCAAAAAAGTCTTGGAGTAAAACATAAAGGGGCTAAAACATGGCAGCACTCCAGTCAACTGGCGTTAGGGACAGACTATTCATTTGTGAAAAATATCTCATGACTTAAAATGACAATGACAACAGGAATGGTCCCACAAAACAACCTAAGCTTTAAATCTGTCTCCATTCTGATCTCTTTGAACATTCCCCAATACCAATATTTTGGGGAAAAAAATGTCATCAAGAAAGTATCAGTATTTATCATCATACAGGTATCCTTGCATAAATACCTTCCTAAATATAATTACTGCTAAGTAAACACAAATTTGTCATTATTATAACTAATATTATTTCTACACTTCGCATTAATAATAGTTACCATTTATAACCATTGGCTTACCAAGAGCTAAGCAAGAAGATAAGTGCTTTACATCAATTATCTCATTTCATCCTCATGATAACCCTGTGAATTTGGTGCCATAGCCTCTATTTGAAAGAGTGGCAAATGGATGCAGATAAGGCAAGAGAGTCACCCAAGATAACACAGCTAACAAGTGCTGAGGCCAGGATTCAAACCCAGATCTTCACCACTATCTATATTGTCCCCCTGACTTGTGAATACATAAGTCAAACAAGGATTTCTACATCAACAATGTTTCATCTACAGCAAAAATAAAAAAATTAGAAGTCTACTTGGAAATTATTTCCTGAGCTTTAACACTTCTGGGGTGATAGAAAGCTTCTTTATCTTAAACAGAATATGGGTTTCACAGGTGTGGGTATTTATCATTTCTTTTTTTTTTTTTTAATAAAGATCTCTTGAACGGGGCACCTGGGTGGCTCAGTCGGTTAAGCATCTGCCTTCAGCTCAGGTCATGATCCCAGAGTCCTGG